TGGCATGTGGTGCTGGGGGATTGAACCGCGGTCCCTGATGCTTTTGCTAAGCTTGTTCTAAGTAGGTGCTTTAGACCACTGAGCCATCTCTCCAGCCCTACATTTCTGACACTTTTTATAAAACTGTTTCACAGAAACAAGGATGCACCCACTTTAATTACCCAAAGGCAGTATTATTTTCTTACATATACTAATCTTTTGTTTTGAAAAATGGAGTAAGTGTTCCAAAGTACCAATATTCAAGCCGCTAACTGAAACTATTCTACCAGTTAAAATGGTCTGTGTGCTAGACAAATTGGCCTTCGTAAATATTATCCTGATACTAAGAACGCGTATATGTGAACAATATCTGTACCCTGTACAGCCCCCTTAAAGATATCAGATACAATGTTATACGCCAGTATTAAAATCAGTAAGAAATATTCCAAGAAAATCAACTCTCTGCTTGTCTATGTGGGTAACCAGATATTTTCTAAAAGTCAAAAACTAAGTTTTATTCCCATGTCTGTTATGAAATACTCCTTAAAGCTAACAACTTAATGTGAAATATAAGTGTAGATATTTCATATTCAAATTTTCTTGCAATAGGCCATTCTTGGGTATATTTTCTGTATGTTATATTTTAAAATTATTTTTGTTCAAATACTGAAAGTGTTTAAGAGTAAAAAGACTACACAAAAGGAGTCAAATGTTTATGTATACAACTAGAATATAAGCTCCAGAATATTGCACCAGGAACCTCAAATTCATTCTACCGTTCCTGGCCAAGAACTTACTCCATTTCATTAAAATGACTTTTAATGCAAATAAAATGAATGCATCATACTCAAGACAAAGAAAGAGACTATCTCCCATTCCTGTACCTAGCTTTTAAAGATTTTTGGAGGTCTCTTTTAAACCTTACCTGTTTAAAATGTTTACAACGCTGGCTTTTCAAACTACTGAGTAAAGAGTGTTGCATGTATGTAAAAAAAAAAAAAAAAACCTACTTGCTCAAAACTGGGGAACATGAAGAAATTACACATAGAAAAAGCAGTATCTATAATAGCACATAGAAGTTTAGAGTTCACATTTTTTAAATTCACATTTTAAAATGTCAATGACCACAGTGCCACAAGTGGGATCCAGAGGCTCACCAGAAACCTAAGTTGTACACCAAGACTCCCAAGAGACCTTCCTAAATACAGAAAGGAAAATTTGTTTACCTAATGTTCTTATCCAAGGATTCTATAGCTTTGCTGCTTAAGTCCATGAAAATTGTTCTTGCCCACATTTTAAATCCATGTAAAGACAATGCTACCAAAGTAGCTACTTTTGAAGAATGTGTATACTCTTGACCTCTCCAAAAAGCAGAGTTCCTAGAAAGAATTCTTAGCTCCACTGCATTACTTCATAGACACTGTCACCAAGGTGAAAAAAAATCTTTCCTTTATTAGATGTTCTGAAAATTATTTTGTATGTTTGCCTCCATCCTAATAAGATTATCCTCTGATTTTAGTACATTCCCTATCCCTTTCAAAAACTTCTTCCCAGGGGCCAGGGAAATGGCTCGGTAGAATAAGCACTTGCCTGGCAAGCTCCAGGGCCTGAGTTCAATCCCTAGTTCCGCAAAAAAAAAAAAAAAAAAAAGAAGAACATAATCATCTGGGGCTGGTGAGATGGCTCAGTGGTCTAAAGCACCTACTTAGAACAAGCTAAGCTAAGCAAAACACAGGGACCGTGGTTCAATCCCCAGCACCACATGCCAGCCAGCCCCGCCCCCTGGTGGGCTGAGCTGGCCACACACACACTAAATAAACAAACAAACAAATAAATAAATAAATATTAAAAAAAAAAAAACTTCTTCCCAAAACTCACTACAGAGGAAGCACTTCAATTTCCTCCTTTCCACAGGAACCCTTCCTTTCTGTATTTTACATAACACATTCCTCCACCTTAAACAATGTATAAAAATCGAATGATTCTATACTTCCTAATGCCACATTTTAAAAATATTATCCGTGATAACTGCCTTCATTTTAAACTTTGCAGCTGATTCCATGCTATTACTCCAATAAAATAGCTACTGAAAATAGCCAATGACTACTTTCTTGCCCTTCTTAGTTCTATGCTCTTTTCCTTCTTTGTGACTTTCATAGTGCAACAGCACACACTGAAACTTTCCACTGAGCTTCCACCACACAGTACGATCCTACTTCTATTTCTATGGCCAGGACCATTTTTTTTTTTTTTTAAATCTCTTCATTCACTGGTTCCTTATCCCTTTTTCAAACCCTGGCTGTACATACTTTTCAAAATTTCCTGGATGTTTCTCTTTCTGTGAAATAACTTTTGAAGAGTCCATCACACCCTATGGCTTTAGTTATCACTTTATGAAAAAATTAAAAATCTGTAAGTTTAAAAGTCTGGTCGGTTTCTATCGCAATATTTCCACCTGCAATTCCTGGAAAATGTAGGTATTTCAAAAAAATGTCACAGACTTAACTATGAACTATGTTCTCCACTAGGGGGAGTACATCATCCTACCAAGAGAGCACCCAACGGAGAGCAAAACAGTTTGTCTATCATAAAACTCTAAATAGTACTTTCTTACAAGTTTTATTGTATATTAAAACAAGTTTGATTTAACTTTGATAGTTTTAGTACTACCTTAAATTAATTATTCTGTACTATCTTATATCTAATAAATTTTACACTGATTTTGCTGATCACTATGTTCAAATGTGGACCATCATATTAACATTTAATTGCTGGCCTAAAAGTGCAAGATAGGTAATACTGAATTCCTTTAGAAACACAGCATTTCTACTTCAAAAACATAAGTTCCAACTAGTCTTCTTTCAGCTCTCTCTTCCTGCAACATTGTTGCTTGCTTTGAAAAAAGAATAGTTAAAACAAATGACAGATACTTAAGTAAAGACAGATACTTAAGTATGAATTTGGATAATGGACTAGATACATATTGCACACATATACTAATAAAGTAAATAAATATGTCAGGAAACTAAGAATAAAACTGAAGAATCAGTGAGAAAAATTTTAAAAAGCTACAAATCCAACAGCTTTTCAGTTCATGTAATTCTGCATTTATTAAGCAATTATGTACCATGGCTTTATTCTCTAAAATCTTGTATCAGCAAATAACATTATAGCAGAAAGAGATTTAGATTTCAACCATAAGCTCTGCTGTTACTGGGCAAGCTTAGGCAATTTCTCACATGTCAAATATGAAAACAGCCTATACTTTCACTGAATTATTTAAGAATTAAATAAAATTTTAATATTTAGCACTACATCAGATATACTATAGGTGCTATATAAATGCTGCTTTCTTCTTGTATAAAATTATTTTATTAAAGTGCTTTTAACCTCTAAATTTATTAAAATGTAGTACTTCAAAATAAACACACCATGTAAATACAAAAGAGTATGTGGAAATAAAAGATGAAACTAACCAGACACCATTAAACTAAATAAAACCGACAGTTTTCTACATCCTGACAACCAGTGAAAACCAACAACCTTATATCTCTATTTGCATTTTCTAACCCCATTTTTATTATCTGCTTTTGCAAGATAGACATAAAATAATTGTAGCACTAAACAAAAAGAACAGTTTGACAATCTGATTTTAGTCCGTTTCTGCTGCTTTACTTGATGCCAAGCCGATCTTTCTTTAAATCAGGTAACATTAGTGAATGTATCTAATGAATCTAAATCCCCATAAGACATGCTGAATGCTAAGAATTCTGAACAAGGCCTCTTTCAGCTAAGGGATAACAATAATATAGCCCCAAAGGTAAACTATATTCGTATTAAAACAAAAATTTACTCTCTGGCTTTCAGACAGGTAAAACCTCAGGAAGAAAGAATCAAGATTTTGACAAAGAAAAGGGGTTCCCAGAATAAAAGTAACATATAAAAGCACAGAGTCAAGATTCTACATAGTATGATTCATTGATTATAAAAGAAATGTTCTAAGGCAGAAAGACAGGGACTCAATGGAGGCATCATCAGATAAATATTCACCTCAAGCAGGTATTAAATTCTAGTATAAGGAGTTAGAGGAGTGTAGATCCATGGTAGAGCAAAAACCCTTGCCCAGCATACATGAGTCTATGAGTTAGGTCCCAACCATCACTGAAAGAAAAAGATTTTTCCCCTTACAGCAAAAGAAACAAGAAGCTTCTGAAATCATTTTAAGGAGAATAATGCAAGCAAACTATTTTAGGAACACTACCTTTGTCACCATGTCTAGATTGTGCAAAAGGTAAATGTC